ATTTTATCCACGACTATTGTATAATGTACCCATTATACGTCTGTTTGCTCGACCTTAATAATACCCATTAATCACGGCAGTGATTAATGAGTCATTAATCACTACTGTCAGATGCTTCCTTAATTTAGCTATAATATTATATTGTTCTGCTACAAACAATCCGTTTTTAAAATTTTATCGTGTAAACCACTAAATATTTTCAATTCAGTGCTGTACATTTAAAAAAAAAATTAAAAAAGTGAATTTTCCTAGACCGGATTCGAACCCGGGACCCGCGGTTGGAAGGGAAAGAGCATCTACACTGAGCCATCAGCGACTTCATTTGTGCGAGTCGTATATCTGTTTCTTAACATACCATGTTTTTCGAAACATTTCAAAAAAAACTTCAACAAAAATATTTAGTAGTCGTGGATAAAGTATAGTATTCTACTCCCGTATAATGGGTATTATTCACTCGGTGATTTAGGCCACTCGCCTGCGGCTCGTGGCCGTAAACTTCACCTCGTGAATAATACCCATCATTATACGCTCGTTGAATAATATACTATTATAGTATAGACAAGTTGACACAATGTGACAGTTTTTTCCAAAGCCATCTCGTGCTACCGAAAATAATAAAAGTATTTATAATAGTATTTTCAGAAATGTTGCCATATCTTAAAAACTAACAATTTTAGGTATAGAACATGCTTAATAAAAGTTGAAGCGGAATGATATGCGAATAAAATAAAACAATAAAATATAGGGTGTTCCATTCGAAAAATTTTAGAAAATCAAGTTTGAACTTTCTAAACATTATCATCTTATAAAAAAATTGCCCTGTACAAAATATCGATATTAGCTAATATAGGAGCCTTTGTATAACATTTGTCTATAACTCTGTCAAATATTTTTGCTCCAAGTGTTCGTAGTTGAAAGTAAATACAAGTTCTTCGAGGTCATGTTTTTTCCAAAATTCTAAGAATTTTCTGCATAACTTGGCAACCCCGCAATAAAATGATAAACTGTTTATAATGCCATATATAGAATTTTCTCAGAAATCCATCTGTTTAAAAATATTCGGGGTGTTCCATTTAAAAAATGTAATGTTTGGCGTGTCCCGTTTTTACTCATCGCCCTGTATGTTTGAAATTAATTTTATAGTTCAGGTTTCTTGATTCTGTACAACTTTTATATAAACATTTTTTCAGTATTATAAGTAACAAGGGAGTTAGTGTACTTTCTCACACTAATGGCCCACCCTGTATGTTTATATGATTTTCTTACTTAAAATCATGCGCAAATTCACCCCATGTATAAACAATTATCGAACACCCTATTTAATTTTTTTAGACACCTTGAAACTTTACTAACGGCGACCGAGCATCCGTATATTAACATGGGGGATACCATGTTAATATTCGTTGCGCAATTAGGCAAAAGAACAATAAATTTGTATACACCACTGGGCAAAAATGTAACCGCAGCAACAATCTCCTAGGGTCGAGGTGAAAGGAGTGAAAGATGATAAACGACTGCTATATATAGCAACCCGCCCGAAATTCCAATCATCAGTTGACTAAACTAAACCGCTGACATAACAAAATGCTCTGCTTTGCTTTCGTGACTTTGTTCTTCGCCACGGTCCTGGCCGGGTACGACGAGGGCTACGGCCACGGGCTCTCCCACACGGTGGAGGTCATCAAGCAAGTGGAAGTGCCGGTCTACAAGCACGAGGTGGTGAAGATCCCCAAGGAGGTACAGATTCCCGTGACTAACCTCCAGGCGATGGCGGTGCCTCAACCTTTTCCGGTCCAGGTGAAAGTGCCCAAGCTCGTGCCCGTACCGGTTTACAAGACCATCAACGTCCCCGTGGAGAAACCGGTGCCTTACAAGGTCGAAAAGGAGGTGCCTTACCACGTGGAGAAGCCCTACGTGGTCACCGTGGAGAAGCACGTGCCCATCAGGATTCCAAAGCCCGTGCCCGTCAAGGTGCCAGTGTACAAGGTTGTGTATCACCATAGCAAGCACTGATAGTTGTTAGTTTCTTTGTTGTTTCATGTTATGTTTTGTTTGTTAACCGTTGTTTGTTAATAAAAAATTATTATGATTTCGTCGTACTTACTTGCACCTAGACGCTTCCAATTTACATCATGCCAAAGGTAATTTTAAGATGTTGTCTGTAATTATTTATTTGTGACACTTCCTGTTACTGTTTTTATGTAATTGGCTATTTCCACCTCACAGAAAACATTGTTTTTTTTTATAAATAACCCACGAGCCAAAAGGACCAGCCAAGTGGTTGATTTTCAATTGAATTATTCAATTTTCGTGCTGAAAACATGCATAGCTATCGAATTTTCGAAACCGAGAGAGTTGCATTAACCAATTTTGGATAGGAGATAGCCAATACAATGCGAAGCATCGCCTTACTATGAAAAATGTTGTCACCCCCGTTCTTGGGGGTGAAAATTCGAAATATTTGGAATTATTCGAAGCATTGTATCAGCTGTATCTTTTTATTTAACGAAGCGTCCTAGATAAAAACTCTCTAGGAAAGACTCCTCTCAAATTTCACCAAAGAATACGAGGTTTCGTTTTCGGTCACCATTTGCGAGTCACCCTGTATCACCCTGTCAAGATTATCTCGTAATCTAGTACAATCAATAGAAGATTTACCTCCAAAAACAACTCAAGGTGGTCCACGTAGAGTAAATAATTGACATGTAGGCATTGAGTTAGATCGATAATGAAAACAACAAACAAGGGTAGGCCCGGGATTGACCCTTGCGGAACCCCTGAAGATCTATGGAAACTAATCGATTGAAAACCACCATGATGTACAAACTGGTATCTACATGTTGCCAAAATGATTTTTTTCGACGTTAACTATTAATAACATTTTTTCCTCACTATGTAAACATGGAAGAATAATTTACTTTAATAAATATTCTGAAAGCAATGTAAGCAAATATACAGGGTGTCCCTGAAAAGGATGGATAACGCTTGACCACAGATTCCTTAGATGAAAATAAGACTATTTAGCTTAACTTACCTATATACAAAAGTTCACGCCTACTGAGATATAGCCTTCTAAATATAAAACAGATAACCTAGTTTTTTTCAAATAATTTGAAAACTGTTTTTCTTAGAAACTTCAAATTTGGTACACACATTTTTTTATATAAGGGCAATGTAATTATAGAATTTGGTGAGAATACATATACAGGATCTTCTCTTTCTAGTGCCTGTGCGCCACTGGCTATCCCCTAACTTTTTTGTATGTACGCCAATGACGACATAATTTATATTTTTAAAAATAAGCACTATTTTAGAAGATTTTTTGCCTCTTACAAAATTTTGATATCGTTTATGGATTTCGAGTAAAATTGGCATTTTTTACACATTAAATAATATAAAATCAGTTTAAGATAATTAGAACAGTCTAGTACGAGGTGTCATATAACAAAGAAACAAATTCATAACAATAATTAAAAGGCTCAGTCTCAAGCGAGGTGTGATCTAATTTTATCTTAGTTTGTTTTTTATTGCAATGTATACTTTTGCTGAACAAACTGATATGTTATTGGATTTGGGTTACTGTGAAGGAAATTGTTGTGCTACTGTTTGAACATGTGCTGAAAGATTTCTTAATCGAAGAATTCCAAATTACAAAACATTTGCTAATGCAGAAAGACGCTTTCGGGAAACAAGACGTTTTTTACTTGTAACAATAAATTCTGGAACTATTCAGCTGGAAGAATAAATTTTGGAAAGGGTCGAAGAAATTCCTCAGTTCAAAAAGTTTCGTTAATAGATATCCTAACAGGTGGATAAGTAGAGGAAATATTGCCCTTTTAAAATGGCCACCTCGATCCCCAGATCTAAACCCATGTAATTATTTCCTTTAAAAAGCGCAGAGGACCACAGTTTCAGTAAATACAGAAAACGAATAATGGGAAAGAATACAACATGAAATTAATGTTATGAAAGGTAATACACAATTATTGGACAAAATTCATTTTTAATTTTCTAAGAACTAATATGTACTTGCATTTTAGAACAAGGAAGTCAGTTTGAGCATTTACTGAAATATTATTTTAATGTGATTATAAAAAATATACATTTAGGTTTATTTAAAATGTTAACGTTGACATTATTAGTTGATATTGTTTATTTAAAATATTAAAAATGTATAGTTATTTTTTTTTAATGTGACGTGTTTTCATTATTATTCCGTGCTTTGAGGCTGCAGTTATAAATAATTTTTTACAAATTGGAATATTTGCCTATATTTAATGTATAAAAATGCCAATTTTACTCGAAATCCATAAAAGATATCAAAATTTTGTAAGAGCAAAAAAATCTTCTAAAATAGAGCTTATTCTTAAAAAAATATAAATTCTGGCATCACTGACGGACACACAAAAAAATTACGGGATAGCCAGTGGCGCACAGGCACTAGAAAGAGAACATCCTGTACATGTATCATCACCAAATTTTATATTTACTTTGAACTTATACAAAAAAATAAGTGTACCAAATTTGAAGTTTCTAAGAAAACTAGTTTTCAAATTATTAGAAAAAAACTGGGTTATCTATTCTATATTTAGAAGGCTATATCTCAGTAGGCGTGCACTTTTGTATATAGGTAAGTTAGGCTAAATAGTCCTACTTTCATCTAAGCAACCTGTGGTCAAACGTTGTCCATCCTTTTCAGAGCCACCCTGTATTTTCATTAAACATTGTAACAACTTAATATAATCCTTAATTAATAAAATAAAAAAATTAGATGGTTCTAATGATACACATATTACATCGGTGAAAGTCTCGAATCCCACACCTCAACAATTACAAAATCCACACCAATTAAAATTAAACTGAAAGTTTTTGCAGCACCGTCAGATTCGCCAACGTATTCGCACCAAAATGGACAGCCAACCCCTTGGAAACCCGTCTTTATAAACGTTATAGTTCCAACATCCCGTATATCCAGCCAATCTCCCGACAATCGCACATAGCATCAGGGGTGGCTGCGACGGCGGCATTGTGTCACTTGATGAACGGCGCGGACCTCTCCAGGGCCAGCCGCTCGCCGTCCGTATACGCTCGCAGCTACCAGTGCGTAGAGCGTCAGTCAATTGTCATCGGCCCACCGGAAGCTGTATTGTGCAGTCTCTCCGGAAACGGGTTCCATGCAGCAGGATTCGAATGCTAACTCTCCTGCTTACGGGTGGGACCGATGCCTCCTTCTTTCGTCGCCGCTAGCGGCTGTTTCCACTAGGGCTACTGGATTTTTTATTGAAACTATTTCATTGAAAAGTGAGGTTATGTTTATTTGCGAACCGATGATGTCCTAGTGCTGTCTATCTAGCCTCTATACAAATGACGAAATGCTCAGTTTAGTAATAAATAAATAGTGATACCTAAATGAAATCTACAAAAGTAGGTTTATCATCCGGTCATATCATACCAGGTGCGAAGTCAACTGGCAGTATCCGTTTTTCAGAGACGGCAATATGGAATTTTGACAGAACAGTGGAGGCTAACATCCGTTGCCCTTCGTAAGCGTTCGGAACAGAATCTGATTCTACCTAATTACATACTAAAAACAATTTTTTGTCTTTGGACTTTGATTGCAGGAAGCTGTGGTATATTGAGACACTATGTATATCATCACAAAAAATTAACTTTATTGAGGCAGCTATGAAAAAGTGTATTCACGCAGTTCACTTTTTGTGACTCGGACACGAAATTTGGCAGTGGTACTTCGACAAGTTTAGAACTACCTTCAAGCTGCTATGCTATTATTTTTTGTGTTAATTTTGGTCAAGGAGCACTCCATAGAAGTTTGTCGAATTAAGGACCCCCTGTATTACAACTTAAAAAAAATATACTACGCATCAGGAATTAAGAAAAATAATCACTATTGTCTATTTTCGGGGTAGAAAATTAAGTGTATCAATAAAGCTTTCTATCGCGAGCGCAAAAATCAGTTTCATGACGTTCTGTGATTTGATTTTGTGGATACGGCAGGGGATATTACTTGCACCTCCGACTGCGAGTAGATATATTGTTTGACACGCCATTGTGACAGATTTGGAAACGGAAATGTGGATGTTAACGATAACACCGCGCTGTAGAGACTGGCATATTTTTACATTAACTTTTCAGTTTCTATTTGCAGTTCACTCTGAACAATCTGTTGAAAACTACATAAAAAAAATCAAAAAACCTAATTTTTCATTACTTATTTTAAGAGTATTTTAAAAAATAATCTATTTATAGACGCAAACTGAGAAAGATAACAAATAGATGTCACTCATAGTTGTATTAAAGATGAAAGGTTTGTACACATTTTTTCCTGGTGTATTTGTAATAGTTTTGGGTTAATTTTTTATTAGCTTGAAATAATTACGTTTTTCAAACGTAATTTATTTGATAGCAGAACGAAATTTTATAAGAACTGTTCAATATGAACTATTATCAGTGTAGTAGGCTTCCACCACGTTAGTTGTAATAACATTTGAATGATCAGCAAGACGGATAGGCTTGGCACAAGCCACCAGGTTCACCTGACTTAAATCGCTGCGACTTTTTTATTTGAGTTGCGATCAGCGACGGAACATATCCATAACGGGATAAATTGCCGATCTTTCGAGGCACTTAACGTAACGACAACTAATCACGTTTCTCGGTGTAATTAGGGCCGTCAACGAAACAATTACGGTGATCAGTCTGGGAGCTCCGTGCATTAATATTCGAAAGGCGGTCGTTCATAACGCTAAATAGAAGCCGCTGGCACTAAATATGTGCATACGAAACGACGGCGAACATAAAGATATATCGCCCTGATAGCGTATGAATTATTAATGATCAGAATTCAAATATCGCCGTTTTAATTAACGTTACGTATCGCGCGCCCCCTCCAGCAGATAGCGGGGATGCTACCACGAGGGGTAGCACGATTTCCTCGGTTTATTATATTTTTATGAATTATAAAGTTAAGCTAAAACGCTTAAAGATAGTTTTTT